GAAGGAAGGGCTCGCCGAGGCGTTTCGGAAACGCGCCTGGGAGCCTGTGGATCTTGTGCTGGACTGTATTGGGGGCCAGACACTGCGGCAGGCGTATGATCCCGCTGTTGTCAGGGATGGCGGGATTATTATTAGTGTTGCGCAGCCTGTTCCTGAGCAGGAGCCCGAGTGGGCGGGGGTCAGGGATGCGATTGCGCAGAGGGGGCTGAGGAGTCGGTTTTTCATTGTTCGGCCGGTCGGGGAGCAGTTGGAGAAGATTTCGTTGCTGGTGGAGAAGGGGGAGTTGAAGGCGTTTGTGGAGAAGGAGATGGAGCTGTATCAGGGGCGAGAGGCGATGGAGTTGGTGGAGAGCAGGAGATCGAGGGGCAAAGTGGTTTTGAGGGTCAATTGTTACGATAGGTAGGCGTGCTTGGGTTGGTTTTGGCATACAGTACATGGGAGAGGGCGGGGGGAAGCTGTCATCGTGAAATAACGGAAATGAAAGAATGCTGTATGTCGGTTTAAAGCCATAGCTATGTCTGAGCAATGTCAACTTGACTCTAATCATCACACATCATCTATAGAGGATGAACAGCGTTGGGGATTGTACGAGGCCAGATGGAGGGAGACATGGTAACAATAATAGTAACAATAGAATAAAAGGGAGGACTAAATACTAAATATAAATAACATCGAGGGGGATAGAAAAAAAAGGCTTATGACAGAAGACATGATAGCAGCAAACTAAAGAAAAAGGGAATAGAGCACACAGGATGACGAAGAAATAGACAAGGAAAAGAACCACGCTAGATATAACCTATTCATTTCAATCCCAACAGTTTCAAGCCCCATTTGAGGTTCTCGTACATAGATAGCTCATTTCCTCGCTCTTCCAGAAGGCCCGCTTGGGCGTGTAAAGAAATAACCCCATGATTCGTCTGAGGTAAAAAAGCACGGATAAAGTGGGGGGCATGGAGCCGGGAAACAAGACGGTTTGTGTAAGCGGGATTGCCGGACGAGACAACATAAAGAATCTGATTAATAAAAGCAGGCGATATTAAAGACAAAAAAATAAGCAAGAAGGAAAAGGAATCCGGTATCGAAGCGGGAGGCTGACCAGGCGCGAGGAACTGAAGAAGAGAGCTGCAAAAAGAAATATATGAAATATGGAAGATGAGAGAAGCAGGCTTAGAGAAGTACGTAACAAATATGACTGAGAAGAGGAAGATCCAGACAATAAGTTTTCACTGCCATGAAAAGAGATAATTTTTTGTTCCCGCTTTTTACAAATTTCCGTTTTGCGTCTCCTTTCCCCAACCTCCCCAGTTTTCATCATGAGATAGAAAAGTATTGAAAGGGCCTGAGTGTAGAGACCGATGTAGAAGAGGGTAATATAATCGGAGAGAAAGTTAGAGAGAGCCCGGGTAGCTACATAGCGCAGGAATGGCTGTGGATGAGATGGATGCGTGGATGAAATAGGTCGCGCGTGGAAAGAATGGTGACACATTATCGAATATATGGGGAAATAAGGATTGAAACAAATGGTTGCGATCGCTCAGAGAAGGGAATCCAGACGAGTAAATACGTTCAAACACGCCGCCACCACCTGTATCGAATCGTTAAATTAGCCACATTCATAAATACTTAATTAGACAGAAACTGCACGGTGTCCAACGAAGAAATATAATGATTTTTGCTTCCAACGTACCTCTAGTTGAAGCTCCCTATCCTTCGCCTTCTCCACTTCCTCGTTAACCGCTTGGGCTAAATTCGCTCCAATTCCCTGCGCACCACCTGTCCGCCGCGCAAACGGCCATTGTGAATATTCAGACAACAGCTCGTCTACCTGCGCGAAAGCCCTCTCCCGCGCCTCGTGGCCCATGGTCACTAGGGCATTTTCAAGCACGTTGGCAGCATAAGCCGCACAAACCATCGTGACAGTGCGCAGGTATCTAAACTCAATATCTTCAGGCAAGAACTGGTTCGGGTTGAGGATAACGGTGCGACTGCTGCAGATGTTCCGGACTCTTTTGTGGATTTCGTCCTTGGCGCCGGTATCTGCAACGGGGTGGGTGGCCATGTCGAAGAGAAGGAAGTTGCGCTTCTCCGTTCGGAGGATACCCTTGTCCACTAAGCCCTTTGCCAGCCGTTCTCTGACTTGCTTCAGTTGGTAGCCGATTTTCATAAGGTTCCAGGTTTCACCTATTTTAAACACCTATTAGTTCATTTATTTTTAATTTTTAATTTTTTTTTCCACATATTCCCGGCTTCCTTTGATGGTGATTTCGCCTGCATAGTTATGGGGAAATATATGACCGTACCACTTAGGAGATCAATCCAGGAGCTAACGCTCATCTTTTCACTCGACTTCATCATTTTCAGAGTCTCGTCCAGCAAGACCTCTCCAGTCAGCGTGTCGTCGATAACCTCGATTACCCGGTCGGCAAGCGGGAAGCGTCTCCTCGACGAATCCTTTTGCATGCTAATGCGGCCGCGGAAAGCTAATTCGATAACGATGCATCCTCGTAGAGCGTATGAAATGTTCTCGTTCCAGAAAGATAGGTATCCCTAAGTAAACCAGAAGGAAAAATATGATAACAGCTCCAAGGTCAGCTACTATGACATACGACCACGCAACAGGATCCAATCGTACAGTTGGGCCTTAAGAAAGGGATCGAGAGCCGCTAACTTCGTGAAGGGGACGACAAATCCCCAAACAGAAACACACACAAACACACAAAAACATACCTGCTTGTCTTTCAACCCCATCAACAACACCTCCTCCATCAACGTAAGTTTCGGCTGTTTATTCCTCTCATCACTCTCACTAATATCACGGGGATCAAAGGCAATTTTATGGCCGCCATTTTGGCCGCTGGAGGTGAACGATGTCTCTGGCACGCGGCTGTCGAAACTACCAGAGCCGTTTAGGCGAGATGGGGAGGCGACGCGGCTGCTATCATTGGTATTGTTGATATCATCTGTGTTGGAACGTACACCTCCGCGACGGCGGGTCAGACCACCGGCAGAAGCCATGGGAGGGAGGGCAGAGTGGGTCGAGGGCAACGGTTGGGTCAGGTTAGGGCGTTGGTCGTAAGAGTATCCGGACGGAGAGAGGTAGAGAGGTTAGGCGGACGGAGGGAGGGACGGAGGGAGGGAGGGAGGGAGGGAGAGAGGGAAGGAAGCTTAGAAGTTGATAGATGTGTGAAGCATAGGATTTTGGCGAGGGACCTAAGGCGAAGTGATAGTCGGTATATTTTATATTTACGTTCTCTCAGGAGAGAGCGAGCGAGAGTGATGAAGTTCAGCCCGAGCAAAATTGTATTTTTAGTGGACTGGGTCAGGTCTGGATTGCGACTCCCAGGGCACAGATACTGCGGAGCAGCGCCAGGTGACGAGAAGCAGATCCCGATCAATTGGAGTACGGGATGGATATAGTGGTGGGATGTAACAGCTAGAGTTATTTAGGGGGCCAGCGGCGGTGGAAGGTTGGAGAGTTCGTTGTTTGTTTGTTCGGATGGGGTTGGTTTGGCTGTTCTGTTCTGCCTGCCCTACCTGCCTTGGGGGATGGATGGGCGCGTTGGGGTTGGGCCAGCGGGTCTTGGCAGGGAGAGGGCGGGAGAATGGGGTTAAAATGTTCTATTGTTATTTATTGCTCTTACCATTAATTATTGCTTTATTTTATATATATATGGACGCTGACTATAAAATTTAACTGAGAATATCCAAGTTTCTTTCACTAAAATAGATCTGGTATACCAGTTTTTCGCCGACCAGTTGACCTATTATACATATACATATATATACAATATATGTATCATCTCCACATCCATCTATCTATATCTGAAGTCAAAGTTGCAGACTGCTCAATACCGCATGAGCCATGAAACGAACATATTGGTGAAGTTGGTTGACGCGATGTAGCTGCTTCATCAATCTCTCAATCCCATCGGGGGTGGAAGCACTCATGAGGAGAATTACTGAAGTAGATCTGTCCTCGCAGCGGCTATATATCGGCATTGCTATTCTAAAGGCGTTCTATTTTCATTTAGTGATTAACCACTATCGTTGCTTTGGGAAGGCGAGTATTGATGCCGAGCGCTGCTGATATATTTTTTCTATTTTATAATGGGTGGTAGGTGGTTCAGTTCCGTTTCGTTTCTTCTTTTTACAATCCTTTTTTTTTTTTTTTTACACGAATACATACACTCTTGGCGCAGGCGGGGGGCGCTTCTAGCTTTTCACACAGAATTCCATACAATTATAGGCCGGCAAAGAAGGAGAAAGAAAAAAGAGACAGAATAAAAAAAAGTGATGATTGATGTACAGTACACGATATGGCAAATGAGGAATGGGAACAGGAAACGTAACGGGTTTCCCTCTTCTTTTTTTAATAGATGGAATCGCACACCCTCCTCCCTTAGAATACTGCTTGCATCCCCTCCCCCAGCGCTGAGTGCAACGATACTATATAGATCCACGGCGCTGCAAGCATATCTAGAGTCGCTCCATCCTCTCGCTGATCATTGGGGGTGTATACGTTTAGTGGGCTGCAGATAGTCAAGTTAGCAGAGGTCATAGACTCTTCACATTGGATATATATGGTGCATCTCTATAGAACAAGAGTGTAGTGGTGATAACATACCATCAGGTTGAGACTGGATATAGCTAACAGCTTGGTCAACTATTATTGGTTAGTTAGTAAAGCGTCCATATCCCAGCTTGATATTACGGGGAATCCGGATAGTTTATGGATATATAGCAGGAGGTAACGTACTGCTGTGAATGGCATCGGCTTCCTTATCTGGAATTTCGATGCTGAATTCCTGTTTTGTCGAGCGCGCGAGTTAGCAAACATAATGCACCATGCCAATTTTATCTCCTGTGAGTAATATAGATAGACAGCTTACCTCCTCAATGGCCATCACAACCTCGACGGTGTCCAAGCTGTCCAATCCCAAATCATTTGAGAAGTGCGAGGTGCTCGTGATCTTCACACACCGACCATTGTAAGTATCTTATATCAATCCCACATCAATGCATTGGGAGAAGCAACATATATATCATTCATACCTTGGATGGATCCGAAACCTGTAAATTGCGCGTGAGTAAATCGCTATTGTAGGATATATATTTTGCAGTAGAGAAATAGACAATAAAAGGGCAAAAGAAAAAGAAAAAGAAAAAGAAAAGAAAAGAAAACTTGATACCACATACCTTGTCAAAGTTCTTCAGCAGATCGACTATTCTGCCCTCAATCTCAGACTGCGTTAGGCCAGCAGGCGCAGAGTATGATCTGATGGCCTGGCAGGTAAAGCATGGGGAGAATTGGAACTGGGTTGCGCGGGCGGCAGAGAGCGGGCTCCTGGAAACCTGGAAAGAGGCTCCGGAGGGTCTGATGGTGCGAGGAACGGAAGAGGCAGCGCGCAGCGACCGGGCTATGGCGGAACGGAACATGGTGGAAGGGAGGGCGTGTATACGGGGTAATTAAAGTAAAGGTAGGTAATGATAATGGCACAGGTTGAGTTGGATGCGAGGGGGTTGGAGAGAGAGAGCAAAGAGTAGGCGGTTCCCAGGCTGGATGTTGATATTTATTTAGGTGGTTGATCGAATGTCAAACTGATTCTTTCTCCGTGTTCTTCGGGTTTTGCACGCCAACCACCGCCCAGCCAATCACGGGCCGGCAGAACACAATGACCGAAAATCCACTCGCCAAAACATCGGGGAAGAGTCGAAAGACATCAGCTATTGCATCCCAGTCGCCATTCCATTTCCCAGCGCTCCGGTATCTATCGAACGCCATACACAGCCGTCTGCTAGCACAATGGCTTCTACAAAGGCTGTCTCCAGGCTTCTGGCCTACAGACGGCCAGCCCTCGCACAGATATCCTCCCAGCACTCCTCCCTTCTTCGGCCCACGACGGCCAGCGTCCTGATTCCTGCGTTCGCCTTTTCGACCTCGTCCCCTCGATCTGCTAGCCCTGCTGGCCCTCCTCGACAAGGCTTCCGTCTCCCGCCTCCCAAGGCCTGGGACCAGGACAATGAATCCGCTCTCGATAAAGCCGGAAAATACTTCCTCTTGGCGGAGATGCTTCGGGGCATGTATGTTGTGTTGGAGCAATTCTTCAGACCACCGTATGTATAACCTTCTATGCACTATATATCTCTGCCCTGATATATATGTATATTTAATTTCCTGGGGACTCTATTTATTACATGACTATTCATCATCATATCCCCGTTGGGAATAACTTAAGGATTTCTTAATTCAAAACTCCCCGGATAAAGCCAAAGAGATATATCGCGCTAACCCTCCTGTAGATATACCATCTTCTACCCATTCGAAAAAGGTCCCATCTCCCCCAGATTCCGCGGTGAGCACGCGCTACGCCGATATCCTTCAGGCGAAGAACGCTGTATTGCCTGCAAACTATGCGAGGCCATCTGCCCCGCCCTTGCCATCACGATCGAGGCCGAAGAGCGCGAGGACGGAAGCAGACGGACCACCCGCTATGATATTGATATGACAAAATGTATATACTGTGGCTTCTGCCAGGAGAGCTGCCCTGTCGATGCTATTGTTGAGTGTGAGTATATTCTCCCCCTTAACGTAGCCTACGCCCCTCAAACCGAGAAACGATATAATATATATATATATATATATATCCGGGATATCCGGGATTCCATGATTCACCAACCCCGAAAAAAAAAATTTGATAATCAAAGGGTAAAAGAGAAGTCACAGTTAACTAACTCTTTTTTCCATCAAAAACAGCCCCCAACGCCGAATACGCGACAGAAACTCGAGAAGAATTGCTGTACAACAAGGAGAAACTGCTCGCTAACGGCGACAAGTGGGAACCGGAACTGGCTGCTGTCGCAAGAGCTGATGCCCCCTACAGATAAAACGCGAAAGAGGAAAGTGGAGTGGGGAATGGGGTAGGCGAACGCGGTGGGAACCCGAATTCAACAGCCGATATCTAGGAGCTGCACATGATATCAGCAGAAAAGACACATTACACACATGAAGATCATTATTTCCTTTTTTTCCCTAATCCTTTTCGTTTTAACTTGTTAACAGACAGAATCCTGCAATATCAATGTACTGGTACATATTTATTTACAGATGTGTGATATGAAACTACCCATGCTATGTTTTGGTGCAAAACAAACAAAGAGAGGTGGGCAGTAAATATGCTGTTGTATGTGTGCTATCCTCTATGTACAGTATGACTACTGTACATCTCAAGGCGTTTAGCTAGTTGTTCAATCTACTGCCGCGCGCCGCATTCTCTTGTATGGTGTCTCTATTTCACATTATGTTCGTAGAAACTTGATGATATTTGAATTTCCATACTCAAGTATCCGATTTAATTGTCATTGAAGAAAAGTGATGTATTCACTGCTGAGAACAGAGAAGTAACTAAGATGTCCCCTTTATTATGAACCCAATATTACTTGCCTCTGAGCCACTCTTTAATAAAAACTGTCAAGGGGGGTAAATATGTGATGTGCTGGCTTAAAATCTACAGTTGACCTTACCTACAAAGGTAGTGTAGAAGAGTGTGAGGAAGAAAGGAGGAAGTGAGAAATGAGATGAGGAAGAAGCTGAAGAGTAAGACTGTACATGCAATAGAAAAATACGAGAATGAAATCTATATAGCCTTGGAAGTGGGAAACACCGTAGGCATAGGATGGTGATGACGGATACCACTGAAAGCAAAAGCAAAGCAAGACAAGAAGAAAGAATAGAACTGAAAAAATAATACGGATAGATTAATTGATAAAAACCCCTCGCCATGAATGAAGAAAAACAAAACACCGATTTACATACAAAAAAGAAGTCCAGACAGAAAATTGAGATATAAAAGGAAAAAAAAAAAAACAGAGGTATATTAGCCGGACCAAACCGCTTCCAATTCAAACCTTTCCCCCTCCCCCCCGTCCCTACCTCACTCCTTTACAAAACCCGGGTAAACAAGACCACGTTCATTCATTCCACTCATTCACTTCTTCTTCGCCTTAAACCCGCCCTCAAACCCAGGCCTCTTCTTAGCACCCGGAGTCTTCTTACCACCCCCCCCCTTCTTCTTCCCCCCCTTACTCCCCTTCTCCTCCCTCCTCTTCCTCAAATTCTCCTCTCTCTTCTTCTGCCTCATCTCCTTCCCCTTAATTACCCCTTCAATCCTCTCCTTCCACTCCTTCTCACTCTTCTTCTTCATTCCCGTCTTGCGATTCAACGTCTTCTTTAACAGCGATACATCATCCTTCACCCGCTCGCCATGCGCCCGCTTCTTCGCGTTTAGCCACATGTCCTTCTCTTCAATGTTGGCTCGCTTGGCCTCGTCCAGTCCCTCCAACCGCGCCTGTTTGGCCTCGAGCGCTTTCAGCGCCGTCTGCGCATCCTGCGGGCCCTTGCGCTTCTTTTCATCAACGAGGGTGCTGAGGCTAGGATCCGCCTGCTGGCCGTCGGCGAATACGACGCGGCCGAAAGAGAAGTTGGTTGGGATCGAGGAGGTGGAGTCTGCTGGGGAACGTGGAGAGGCGAGTAATGAACCAGAGCCACGAGGGGAGAATCGTCGTGCAATGGCCTCGTCACGCTTCCTCTGCTCCTCCTCTCGTGCCTTTTGGCGGAGTTCCTTTTTATGGGCTTTGCGCTGTTCTTCGCGCTGCCGTCTGGCTTCGATGAGCTCTTGGCGGTTGCGGGCGGGTTTACCGTTGAAGCCATCGGCGCGGCGGGCAGCTCGTAGTTCTTCTATGCGCTTTTGTAATCGCTGCTTGAGTTCTTCTGGGGTTAGGCTCTTAGGTTTTTTAGTGTCGTCGTTTGAGGATTGTGTGGTGGTTGATGATTTTGTTGCGGTGTCGGAAGGGGCTACGGGTGGGGCAATGGAGGAGATGGAGGAAGATCCGGATGGTGGGTTGGAAGGATCAAATGGTTGTGAGTTAGGGTCCGGTGATGATGGAGCTGTGGATGCCGGTTCTGCGTCTTCGGTATCTTGTAGAGCCGAGAATCCTTCTACAGGAGCAATGTCTTCATCTACTTCTTCAGCATCGTAAACATTAGGTGCTCCATTGAGAGTAGGCTGGTGGCGCTTCAGTTGGTTTTGGTCTTTAGAAGTGTCCTCATCCGCGCTCTCCTTGGAATCTCCTTGTGCATTTGACTTGGCCGTCTTTTTCTTTTCCAACTTGGCCGCTGCTTTCAATTTCTTCTGTTCCTTTTTTGCGGCTTTCTTCGCTGCTTTCTCTGCCTGCCGTTTCCTGCGGGCCTCTACATTTTCATTTTCATCTTTATCTTTAGTCTGGTCCTCTTCCGATTTCTCTCCCTTTTTTTGCTTTTTTTGCTTCTTCTGACCACGAACAAGGCCCTCCCTAGGTGCTTCTGTTCCTAGCTCTCCATCGCCGTCATCGCCATCGGAACCTGGCTGTGCTTCTTCTCCTTCATCTTCCATTCTCTTCCTCTTTCTGGCATTTTCGTCCATTACATCTTTTGCAGTTTTCGAGGAATCAGGGTCGAGCTTGGCACGTTTGGCATTTCGAGCCTCCTCCTTTGTTTGCTTCTTGCGCTGCCATTGATCCTATAGTTCAAGAAAAAGGGAATAGAATAAGCGGATGTTCTATGTTCGCTTCCCTGGGATGGGCCGGAAAAGATGCCCGGGTGCTCCGCGAGGCCTACCGTTGTATCTTCTCCGTAGTAATATTTTGCAGGAATCAACGACAGTAATCCATCAAAGGCCTGAGCATGGCTTCGGAGCCGTTCCTACATATAATATCACCAGTATTAGTTACCCACCTGGCATACACTATGAAATTCAAGGCTGGTAGAACTTAAATAGTAGATAGAGGGAAGGACGCAGAAGGGAAAAAAAAAAAAAGGCAAAGCTAACCTCAATACTGTCCGCCATTTCCGACAATAAGAAAAGGAATCCGACAAAAAGACAAGCAGGTAGCAAGAGAATGCCTCTTTCTCGCTGGCAGAGGTCGATGGCGAGGAAGTCCAATCGACACGTCGCTGGTCTCCAGGCTCTGCTGGCTGCGGACTGAAATAATTTGCGAGGGCGTAGAAAGGTGTGGGGGGAGGGCGAAATCTTGGCGCTGCTCTTTTTCTCGGTTAAATATTTCACATAATCAACCACACGACGCTAGACTCAACCGTCGTGATATTTTTACCATGCTTTTATTTAATAATAATATTAAAAAATGCATACCTATTTAATAGGATTCTATGAAGAAATTGTTGGTAGTTGCTTGGCTACTGCAGTCACATGTCGCACATTCTATGGATATATGAAAATCTCACTAGATAACTATATTATAGGGCTGCCGTATCGACTTTTAGGCTACAATGGAGCCTAGCAAGGCATCCATCCAAACCACCGGCCGTTGCGTACAACTATTTGACTTGGAATAGGTGATTGCGGGACCTCTTTGTTCTTCTTAGATTCTCACTGTGTCCTCTAGCAGCCGAAAGCACCTTGAATTTCAGTGGAGAATTGTTGGGAGCCTGGAAATATCTCCAGACCGGACCGACCGGCGTCACTAGGTTCGACCCCGCTTCGCAAGCTCTCTTGACAAAAGTGAGATATATATATGAGGAAATGGGACCCGCTTCAAATTGACTGAGGCTTGAGATCTGTTCTAAACTACCCCCGTCATCGCCGTTTCTCCTTCGATTTGTCAAGATGGTAGAAGTTATCCCTCAGCTCCCAACTGAACTATGGGCTCGCATCGCATCCTTTTGTGATCGAACAACGCTCGAGAGCCTTTGCCTCACCTCTCGTGGATGCTCGAGGTTTGCGGCTCGGGAGCTTTTTAGGGAAGTGAGGCTCAACGCTTCCGACTCCAGCTGTGCGAGGTTGGAGCAGATACGAGCACACGAGCGATTAAAGCAATACGTGAATAAAATCAACCTAGGCCTTTGCGGTTGGTCGCCTGTAAGTTGGAACCGCTGAATCCTATTTTTGCTCTGCATGGGTGGTCGTGAAAGAAAGAAGCCACTGCTGCTTAGAGATGGATTCATGAAGAGAGCTAGAAATCCTTTTTTTTTATTTTTTTATTTTTATTTTTTATTTTTTTGTGACTCGGGCATGTAAACCGCGAGGGCCAGCGGCGCCAAAAGTAATGTTGTTTACATGCATATTGCAACTAGGATTTTCTCGAAAAGCAACCTTCGTTACTTCAAGACTGGCAGGAAGCAGACGAAGGCCCCATCCTACCAGGACGGTTCATAAAGCTGGTTGAGAGTCTTAAGATGTTCCCAAATTTGCGGAACGTGAACGTCTTGTTTGATCCGGAGTGTGCTTTGGAAGAGGAATACGATGAGCCGCCGCAATCTGTCGAATTTCGTTTCAGCACAATGAAGCTCCTTCTCTCCTCTTTGACGTCTTTTCCTCAGCCACAGTTGGCTTTGGGATTGCAAAATTACCAAAATGTCAACCCGCAGGACACCGAGACGGTGTCCATGCTCAAACAGGTTCTTGAGAACCTGCAAAGTCTGCGACTTGGAATCCTTAACGAGAGTTATGAGGGAAACGGTGAATATGACCTTGAGGTTGGTGTTCCGCGTGCCCTTTCATGACGCCCTGTCGCAAAACCACGGATTTGATTCTCCCACCTCCTAGCTCCCACCCTAACCATACTTGTCCTGTCCATATACAATATGGTAGTATGACGAAGCCCATACATTCACCCGCGAACTCCCCACAGTCTGGCTCCAGCCAGCATCGGCAACACTCCGACACCTGACCCTCTACGGAACCCTGTACTTCGGCTTCTACCCCAAACTCGACCTGCGGGACATCCACTTCCCAAACCTCCAATCTCTCGCGCTCGGAAACTATGCCTTCGTCCACGACACCCAGCTGGACTGGATCCTCTCCCACGGCCCTACCCTCCAACAGCTTTACATGGACGACTGCGTCATCCTGTACGAAGTCGGCATCTACAACAAGGACAAGTGTTATCTATCACCTACAGAGATGCGGCGTAACGCCAAGGCGACGTGGCAGGGTCAGGTGAAATTCCGCGCCAGTTACTCGAAGCGCTGGCACGACTATTTCCGCGCGTTTGCGGAAAGGCTGGCGGAACTTCGCCATTTTAGATTCGGTAGCAGTCCCGACTGGTGGGACGAATGGGGGATTCCCTTTGAGATGGAAGGGGAGATTAAGATGCGATTGGGGGTGGACTCGTATTTAGTTTTCTGTGATGGGTATGGGCCTAGCCCATATATGGATCGGTGGATTGTTAGTGACAGTGATGATGATGATGCGGATTTTATTCAGTACCCTGAGTGTAAGGAAGAAGATGCGGATGCGTTGGTGGCGCTGCTGAGGAAAACCGGGCAGTCAGTTGATAGGGAGGATCTGTTTGAGTGCTAGTAGCGAGCGGGATTTAAGGGTGAAAAATGGTTTTTTGTATATAGCATTATATATCGATATAGGATATAGTTAGATCTCTTGATATGAAGAGCAATCCAATCCAGGTTCTCGGCTTGTTGGATCCGATCCCACAGAACAGAAAGGGTCTCCCCGTGCCAAGGTTGCTCCCAGACGGACTGACACTTGAACCCGATGGAATTTAACTAATTATCCCGAGCAATCGCTCTATCAGCCCTACCCTACCTACATGTACAGACTACAACGTCTCGTGAAATAGATTTCCATAACAAAGCAGTAGAGCGTCCCAATTCCCTCAAATAACAGGCATTTTCGTTACATGGATATTAGGTCCAGTCTATACGTACCCAGACAGGCACGAAATCCGTACATAGATACTAATTAGTATGGCCCATGACGAAACGGTTCCTCAAATGGGTCCTTCGGAAAAGGGGCAGTCGTAAGGTAAGAGTGTTTCTATACAGCTTCTTCCGCTCCGCTCCTTGTCGGCGAATCTAGGCGCGCTGCACGATGTCGTCAGGGGGCGGCAGGTACAAGTACACGCCCCGCGATAAGTTATTAGCGGCGGGGCGCCGGGGCGTAGCCACTGCACACCCACGAATCCGCAGACGACGTTGAACAGAGATGCGCAGTCCAGCCACAATGTATTATTATTGTTATTGTTGTTATTGATTGATTATTATTGGTAGAAGTACGGTTCTCGGGTGTTTTATGGGAGAAGGATCAATAATAATAATGTCGGTTGTCCGCATTATTACATAGGGCTGAAGAAGGGGACTGCTTCGTTGTCTGTGCTGCAGTCTAAGCGTCTCAGCCTTACAGGGCATATTGCCCAAGTTAGTATTTCTCACACAATAATCTGGACTTGGTTCAAGAAGCCATGACTTATTTGAGATTTTCAGTTTAGATACAAGTTATGCCTTCTATTAGAGTTTGTAGGATAAAAAGTTAAGTTAACGTTTCGCATTTAACTCGCGTCCCTGGCACAAATCACCTCTAGTTATCTTTTTTGGCTGAGTTTCGTAATATCGCCAGTATGTTATGACAAGAGGTTTGTTTCAAGTTCATCGTCTCACAAGCGATTGCCCGTTCAGCCTCTGTTGATACTGGGGATATGGGATATATTAATTATCATTCTTCTTATTGTGCTTTTCGAAAGCCACTGTTGGTTGCCGCTCCTGCACACGATTGCAGATGAAACAAGAACTCGTCTTTTCAGTATTTAATATTAGTTATCGCTTGTTTATTCGCTATAATAGTTATGCAGCGTACGTCAAGGAGTGTTCTAATTTGTCCGGCCACTCTCGATTACCCGATATGGGCATTATTATCGCCCACACGAAGAGCCCTATCAACGGCTAGGAACCGAGATGAATCCGTACGGTGTGCCACTAAACTTTGCCTAGGTTCCCGTATGGGTGCATGATTGATGCAGATTCATCTTAACTACGCTGTACTGTTGGGTTGAGCGGTAGCTTACAAATCATCCAGGGCCTGGTTAAATATTCGTTTATGAGACGCTGCTGAGCCACACACTCCGTCCGGATCTGAACTGCCCAGTCAAGCCCTATCAGCCGATGTCATCGATTGCTCGCCAGTGAGCCCACAGCCACAGCAAGTTGGGAATAATAACAACTTTTAACTAGCCACGGCGAATCACCAGCCGAGAAAGCCAGGAAAAACCAGCCATCGCCAAGCTGCTAGCTGGGGCGGGGTGGTCCCGCGGTCTCAGACGCTTCAGCTGTGATGGAATCGGGTTAGCAGTCATGGCCGTTTTTGCTGGCCCCCTTCGCCGCAAGTACCTAGGAAGGCGTGGATTCTGTTGCGATGGTCAGGAGTGGATGGATTGATGACCACTGCCCCGCCTTGAGTAGCGCGGTGCGCCTCCCAGATGACACCAAGGAGGAGGATCTCTGCGGTGGTATTCTATAGGGGCCACCAGGTGTGGGCGGGGGACCTTAATAAGTAACTAGTATAAAGAGCAGGACTGTCCCTGTTCCTCTGCCCATTTCACCAACTTCTCCCATCATCCTTCCATCCACACCAAGTCCGTCTTGCCAGATATCCTTGAGATACGATACCCCGTATTAAAAATCCAACCTTTCCTCCTTTGAATACTCTCTCTCTCTCTTGACCATCTGCAGATAATCATCTGATCGTCCATCTTCTGATATCTCCCACCTCCCACCTCCCACCTCCCACCTCCCACCTCCCACCTCCAACCGCTTATACCCACCATCAACCATCATCATGTCCGGTCCCTACGATAACCAGAACCCAAACTACTACGGCCAAGGAGGCTACCCCCCTCAGCAAGGCTACGGGCAACCACAAACCGACCCGTATAACCAGGGCCAATATCCTCCCCAACAAGGCTACGGCCAGCCTGCTTATGGCCAACAGCCACCACAGCAGCAGTATGGCGGCGGTGATCAGCAGGCATACTACGGCCAACAGCAACAACCGTACGATCCCAACCAGCAAGCTTATCAACAACAACCACAATACGATCAACAAGGGTATGTCCTCACTCCCCTCCTGCCTCCCCTCCTGCCTCCCCTCCTGCCTCCCCTGTAATATATATATATATATTCAACCCCCCTTCCTTTCCTTCAGACACCAAAAAGCATATCTAACATATCCATTTCCCCCCACTATAGCGTACAACAACAACAACACCAACAAGACGGTGCTCCAGGCGGCGCTCAGCAAGGCGAGCGTGGTATAGGCGGTGCCCTGACCGGTGGGCTAGCAGGTGGCTTCATGGGCCACAAGGCCAACCACGGTATCCTTGGCACAATCGGCGGAGCGATCATAGGCAGCATTGCCGAGGACAAGCTCAAGGACAAGAAGAAGAAGAAGAAGCACGATGGGCATCACCACCATGGAAGCAGTCATCACGGCGGCAGCGGGTATGGTGGAAGCCAGTTTGGCGGCGGCGGATCCAGCTCGAACTTCCTCGGGTCTGCGGCTGGCTCGCTTTTCGGGAAGAAGTGAGGAAGCGGTGTATTTATCAGTTTACCCCTGTGGATGCGCTTGTTTGAGAGACTGTATGTGTATGTGTGTCTGTTGACACTTGTTGCATCGCACATCCTGATGTTGGGTTTTGCTGTTTCGTTGGCGTCTTTACCTTCGCCTCTTGTGTAATTTTTTTTTTTTTTTTCTTTATTCCCTCCCTTTTGTCACTTTCTTGTTCTTATTAATTGCCGTTGTTTCATGTATGGGTTTACCGGATATTATGACTGCGATAACGATTTCCATCACTCGTCTCTTTTTTTCCTATTTCGCGTGCTGAAGAATTTCAGTCGTCTTCTTAAGTGTACCCCCCTTGTGTTTCTATGAATTCGGTGTTGATTAATCACTTATCTTATGAAGATTTCATATATAAAAGTGGACCCGTTGATCGATTTGCATACATCCCGATCAAGCCCTCAAGATAATTTTTCCGTAGATCCTATCTGTTGTAAGATGAAAAATGAAAAATAAAGAAATGTTAACCCTCTTATCTCGTCGTGTTTTATATGCCATGGCTCAACCTGTGTTCCAAAAGTAGTTTAGCGTGCAGAAGTTGCTGGCCCATACAATTTCTATCTCCAAATCTCCGTTTCTAGAGGTAAATTCGCTACCCACTGCACGTCTCCCACCACATTTCCACACCATGATAATACGGCGGCTATTCGGACGGCAAAGTAGGTGCTTCGCATACCATATCTGTATTTATTATATCCGTGCTAACAATTGCTTGTCAACAGGCCTAGCTTTGCTGAGGTCTCCCTCATCCCGAACGACGGCGTGCGGCCGCTTATTCGCGACGGATTCAGACCCGACTCCTCCTCCGCCAATTACCCAGCGGACTGCTACGAGTCAGACAGGTTCTATTCCAACCACTGTGCTGGATGGAAATGCAAAATCGTCCCTGCCGGGACAGCAGACAGAGGAGAATGCCGCGCCCCGGGCTGGCCGTGGTGACCCGGTTGAAAACCCGCAAGAGATAGCTGAAGCGTCGGGATTAACAACAGCACCAGCACCAGCTACTCCCGCACATACATCATCCCCTACATCATCGTCACGGCCAACAAAGATAGCACAGCCATGTACGTTGCAAACCCTATCCTCAATCTTAACTACAATCCCGGTTTTTTTTTTTAAAATTTTTTTTTAAACTAACCCAAGCCACGCCCCCTCAAAAGCGCCCGAAAAATTCCATAAACTCGGCTCCGTCCTCAAAGACCTCTACAGACCAGAAAGTCTAATTGCAAACCCCCCCCGCGTCGAAGACATAACCCTCGAACTCCTCCTCGCCTCGCAAACCCACCTCGGCCACGCCACCTCCCTCTGGAACCCAGCGAACGCAGAATACATCTTCGGCATCCGGCAGGGCGTGCACATCATCTCCCTAGACGTGACAGCCGCCTACCTGCGGCGGGCCGCCAAGGTCGTCCGCGAAGTCGCCCGGCACGGCGGGCTGATCCTCTTCGTCGGCACGCGCAAGGGCCAGCGCCGCATTGTCGTCAGCGCCGCCGAGCGCGCCAAGGGCTGCCACGTCTTCCAGCGCTGGATCCCCGGCAGCCTGACGAACAGCGAGCAGATCCTGGGCCACTGCGAGAAGCAGGTGGTCAATGCCTTTGACGAGCCGCTGCCGGGCTACGAGGCGCAGCTGGAGCAGCTGCCCGCGCTCAAGCCGGATCTGGTCGTGTGTTTGAATCCGCTGGAGAATCGGCCGCTGCTACATGAGTGTGGCCTGCATACGATCCCGACGATTGGGATTATTGATACCGATGCTAATCCGACGCATGTTACGTACCCGATCCCGGCGAATGATGACAGTTTGCGATCTGTGGCGGTCATCGCGGGGGTTTTGGGGAGGGCGGGGGAGGATGGGCAGCGGGTTAGATTGCAGGAGGCGGCGGAGGGGAAGGTTATGTATGCTGTGAATGAGATATTGGAGGATTGGAAGCCGAAGTCTGCGGAGGTTGCGGAGGCGGGGGCGGATCAATAATTGATTGAAGGGGATGGATGACGGGTTGGTGTTGTAGTTTTTGTATTTTTTCAATCTCTTCTTGCTTGTTAACCTTTTTTTTTTTTTATTTCTGGCAATGTTCTGGTCTGGTCTTTCATGTTTTCTATTGTAGAAAAAAATATTATGTATAAATAGGAATTTATTTTCATTTAGGATTTTGATTCTTCTTTTGATTTTCTCTATGAATTTGTCACGGCCACTTCCTCCTTTTCGCCCTCAAGAGGCAATACAGACATGGATGTGGTGGTTTTCTATATATTCAGCCTGCTCAAGATCAGTTGAGTAGACAAATGGAACCCTGGACGCTTTGCTGCCGAAAGAAATATACCAATTAGGTCCTTAGGCGAGGCGCCCTGGGCTCTGTCTGATGGTGCTAGCCAGAATTTCGGAGGTTGGAATGCAAGAAGATATTTGACGTTCACCTCGAAGTATGCTCAGAACTCATCTTCCAGCGAATAATTGCTCCTCGTCAGTCTGAACTTGGCATTGGGTATTTGTCAAGATTCCCGCCAGAGTGAATCCTATCCCGTGTGCTGCTGTTGCCTGCTATCTCAGCCCGTTTTGGGCTTAATTGGAATTGTTGATCCCGTGTCCACGCGCACTAGCGCGTCTTGCCAAGGGAAGGGAAAGACGCGCCGAGACAGCGAACACGAGGCCAACAGTGCTCTGATTCGACCTTCTGGGGAGGAGGATGTGTTGCTGCCTGGGGATAGGCCCTTGTCGCTGTCTCTTGAATGGTTGGGGATAATGGCACGGAGTCGGGTTCGGGGCGTTGAAATGAGCCGAAAGATGTGTTCCAGGACCAGCGAGATGGCATGGGAGGGTGGTGGGAGGGTGGATGGGGGGATATTTAAAGAGGGTGGATGGCATGGGAAACATTCAGGTCCAAGGAAAAAGGAGTTCTATCATCACAGAGTCCAAAAACCGAAATATATCCATCCCAATCTATCTATCTCGAATCAACCCACTTTTTCATCAGGCCTTCTGCCCACCAATCTATCTCTCTAAAGCCCAACCAACCCACTCACCAACAATGGCCCCTCCAAAGATGAGCTTCGCAATCAGTCTGGCCACCACAGACATTGAAGCCACAAAGCGCTTCGGTACCGCTCTCGGCTTCACGGTTCAAGCCTGCTACGACGCAGACACAACTCTGCGCCTCAAGTACGACGATTCCTTCGGTATCTTCTACGCCACGCACTCCGTCATTAGCAAATTCCTCCCCGCTGGCCGCGAGATCGCCTCCACCAAAGTCGCGCACGAGGTCATCGTGACGCTCTCGGTCAATTCGAAGGAGCAAGTTGACACAATGATCCAGAATGGGCTTGCTGCTGGTGGGAAAGAGGGTCCCAATATGGTTCCGGAGGAATGTGCTGGTGCAGCGCTCTACTCGAGGAGCATAGAGGATCCGGATGGGCATCTTTATGAGATTCTCTTTTATGACTCGCAGGCTGCTGCTCTGGAGGGGCCGTGCAGCTTCAAGAAGGAAGAGAAATGAGTTCCGCTGTTTGAGGACATTTGCGCGCGGGATGGGTATTGATGGTAGTTGTTTGGGAAGGGAGAAGAAGGGGGGGGGGGGGTTCTGGGTGTGCTTGTGTGGGTTTTAATTCTCCATAAGGGTTGGCTGGGAGGTGGTCCGTCTTGATAAGCATGTTACCGCAATGTAATGTTTCGATCAAAGATTTCACTTTCCCGTTTTCTTTATGAGAGAAGATATCCTAAAATGCAGATGAACGTTCCATATTTTGATTCATTCGACCATGATTTTGCTCCATATTGAATAGAAGCCAGTCGAGCTTCATCAGGTGTATTTCTCCCCTAAGATTTAGCATGGTCGAGTCTTAATTCCGGACGACTCAAAGCATAGGTCAAATATTGCCCCAGTCCGAAATCATTTTGTAACTATGTCTTAAATAGCTCCAAATATATAATTAACGTTGAAACACTGATATGAAAGAGTAGGCGCCTGGTCGGGGGTAAATCACAATGAACGTCTTGGACATCACACGTAGCTAACGAAAAATATTTGTGTATAGATTAGAGTGGACATCTCAAGTCTTTCTCAGGGGAATATCCACGAGGTAGGTCTACTTGCATTGAAGGCAAATAAAGCATAAGGGTATATAATACGTGCGGCGACAATCTGGAAGGCTGGGCAGAGGTCCAAATTTGAAAAGGACATAGTCTATATGGGCAATATAAAGTGACAGGGTACCGATCATGTTATGCCTGTGGGTTGGGTATATCTAGAATGAATCAAGGCAGCCGGAAAATCCGTTTATCCAAGAGCTCTCATCGCAAGTTCCACACTAAATCATGGGTGTTAGCGGCTTAAAGACTTGCGTTAGGGTAAGCAATAGGAATAAGGGAGGAAAACACTCACACTGCGAATGTTCCAGCAGAAACTGGCATCGCTCTGAGCAATGTTGGTCCAATTCCCTTCCAGAACCCGCCCAACCCCTCAGCCGCAAAGGTCTTCTTGAAACAATCGATCGTTCCCGCGAATTTCTGTTGGGCACCAAATCCATCGCTCTGCATTTTACTCTTAATAACATCTAGAGGGTAACTTGCCAACCAGAGAGCTTCACCCGCAAGTCCTCCGTAGGCTGCCACTTTGACGGCCGAAATATCCTCTCGTTTAACGTTGCTGCGCTTAGCCTCCCAGTTCATGAGATATTCGAAACTGAGGAACCAAACACCGTAGGCTTGCGCTTCTCGAAATACAGTCACGAGACCTCCCCTGTAAATTCCCTTCAGGACACCTTCATGGGCAGAAAGCTTGCGGATGCAGTCGATTGGCCCGTGGTATAGCCGCTGGGCGCCGTGTGGTTGTGTTTGTAGCCGAATGCGGACATGCTCGATAGGTCCAGATATGACGGAATTGGTAACGCCGGCGAAGGCACCAGCAAGGTAGTATTGAGAGTAAGAAAGGGATGTATTAAGCGGGTTCTTTTTGGAGTTCCATTCTTCGAATCTTCGGCGTGCTTCGTGGAAAGCTCCAAATTGGACACTGACCTAGTACGTTGTTACCGCGAATTAGCTAAGTAACCCCCCATAGGTGCTAGATGACCCATCCCGGCGGCTTGGAAAGCTTGGTTGCGGAGGCGCAGCCGGATCGTACACGAGAGCTGAGAATCCTCAATATCGAATTGACTAGATTGGTGAGATGCTTACACAGGCGCCAATTCCCACCAACGGTGTTAATGTTCCCTTATAAAATGCCAACGGACCCTCATTCTTCAAAATCTTTGTGGCACAATCTAAAGCATTTGAGTAGTTTGTGGTGGTTTGGAGTCGGACCTTGATAATATCTGTGCGGGGGTTAATTTGATACCTATCAAGGGCGGTGAAGAAGAGTACCTACCGAATGGTTGACCTGTGATCAATTACAACGAGTTAGCATACGAATAATATTTATAAGTTTTTCCAATGGATAATTAATTGGGAGGCCATCGAGCGAATTTAGCTTTTCTTCTCCCTTGTGTTTTTAATTTTTCTTTTGTAAAAAAAAAGAAAAGAAAAAAAAAGCAAGCCACAGTGACGATGATTCCCCCGGTATGAACAAGCGCCCAGGATTGGAAGATATTGGAAAAGAGGGTTATTAGAGTAGCACTCACCAAGAAGAACCTGCGCAATACCGCCAGCAGCACCCGCAGAGAGATCTTTAACTGTTCTCAAAGGGCCTTCGCTTTCAATTTCGTTAACTGCCATCTCTGCCAAATTTCCGTGGGCGGTTTTGGATATTCTTTGATAGCGACAGTTCCCCGTTGTGACTGAGCCAATTGAGAGAGCAACACCGCAAATAAAACACTCCTCAAAATCAAAACAGATACAAGGCGACTGCGACTATAGTATAGACACCTCAAATAATTATACTAACTCGCTGAAGCTGAAGAATTTGAAAACGAAAAAAAATATAAAATTAGAAAACCCGAAGCTGGCAATTCTCTCTTATCGGCCCCGCAAACTCTAAAAGACGTGATCGGCCCCGAAGACCATATCGCCGAGAAAAATAAACTGGAAGGCGCTAGTATGAATCTTACTTCTATCACCCAATGAAATAAGTTAACGCCTGTCGTATAATACATTACTGAAGTATGATACAGCTAGTGGTCCGCACTTTAAGAAACAATTCCGGCCACAAGCGGTGTTAACGCGAGTCACGTGACTCAATATCGGATTTATTATCGGCCCGATATTCCTGACGTAATCCGACTTCTCTCCTAAAAAATTCCCGTGTCGAAGATTCAACGAAACTTATACTCGGATGCGATGGAACTCAACTTCGAGTCAACCCTTTTTAGCTCAGGATGGTCAGGCGATCTGTTTTAAAGGTATGACAGCGGGATATTTCATCAAATGATGCTCCAATTTACTAATCTGGTGTCGTAAAAGGTTTCGCGATGCCTGGACAGTTGTCACATCTGTTCCATCTGGCGGAGACCAATCCCTTCTCTTCCGACGGCCAGCGCTCACTGGGCTCCACGAAGACAATTCAACTCGACCTCAGGTTTGCCCAGACCTCCAGCCGCAGCGGCGGCCGTTGTAGAGCAGTATGATGACGGCCCACCTTCCCGACCAATCCAAGCAGCAAAACCTGCCTTTGGCCGCCCGGGAGCTGTTGGAGGCGTTCGGGGAGGATTTGGCGGAGGGTTCGGCTCGGGTTTCGGAGGGTTCAATGCTTCTTCGAATTCGCGAGAGAATGAACTCACTGCGGAAGAAGCCAAACAGCGCGATACATTGAGGAAACAAAGAGAAGCACAGAAACAACCTACGTCCCAACGGACCGCGTCCACACCCACGTCCACGTCCACACCTACATCTACATCTACTCCTACGCAACCCAAGATCCGTTATGGCAACTTCGGCCGTGATTCATCTCGACCTACTCATGTAGAAAATTCCGGTCATAGAGGGGAAGAACGCCAACGAAACATTCCAAGACGAAATCTAGCGGAACAGCCCCCAAATTCCTTTCGCATTACCAGAGTTGAAACAAACGACGACAATCCCGCTCGACCCCTGCCTGATCATAGAGGAAGGAGTTGGGATTGCCGGGTGTGCAGGCATGTCAATCCCGCGCCTAGTAGGGTTTGCCCTAGGTGCGGAACCCCGGGAAATCAAGCATCTTCTTTCGCATCTACGTCTCCCACCGAAGGGACAAATAGTGGTTGGAGTACTGCAAACACCAATGATCAGGCACGAGAGTCGCCGATAATACGCAAGGTTGGCATAGCTGCTTCTCAGGGAGATGGAACAACGACTACGACGTCCAATAATGCATTTAATACTTTCTCAGGGTTCCGAAAG